GCCAATACATCAATAGAGCAGGAGAACTTAGTTTTGATTACAGATCAAACGAACAGAGAGTAGAAGCTGGTCCATTGAGCTCGATGAAGGTAAGTCAAATTTGAAAATGACAATCTCTCTTGCTTTCAAGGGACATGAGTCAGAGAAATGATATTGTGCTCCTCTGTTTCCCTCTAGATGGACGAAGACCTCTCGTTTCCTCGTCTTTCTGGAACAACAGCAGCAGCAGTATGTTTTTTTCTCTGGTTCTGTAACCATGCGATATTTTTGTACCAAATTTTCTCAAATCTGATAATGTGATTTGGTGATTCTAGGTAAAAGCAGATCATAGAGATGAATACCCAGTAACCCGCAATCACATAATTAGCAGTCATTCAGCTCCACTGTTCCCAGAAAAGAAACCCGACGGATTACTGGTGAGACAGGCGAATCCATCTTTTAATGCCTATGTATTACCTACACCAACGGATTCAAGGAATTCAAAACCAGCTCCTCAAGCTTCAAACCCGAGGCCAGCAAACCACAGCGCTGGAAACATATGGCATTCGTCTCCATTAGAACCGATAAAAAGCGGGAAAGATGTGGAAAACAGCAGCCTCTACGCCCGGCTTCCTCGCCCTTCTACGACAGACACACATCATCTGCAGCAGCAATCAGCAGCAAGCCATGCCTTTTCTGGCCCACTTAAACCCTCCTCAACAAAACCTCTGGCTACCACCGATGTTTACTCAGGCGCGTTTAGTCCCCTGCCGGTTCCTCCTGTACTTCAGCGTCATCTTCATTCATTATCTTCTCCAAGAGTATCCCCTACCGCTTCACCTCCTCCTGCTTCTTCTTCTTCCCCGAGGCTCAACGAGCTTCACGAGCTTCCAAGACCACCAGGCCACTTTGCACCACCACCACCAAGACGAGCCAAATCCCCTGGTCTGGTTGGTCACTCTGCGCCTCTAACAGAATGGAGTCAAGAAAGAAACAATACTGTTACTCGTGCTCCACCATCCACAACTAACATTGTGGCCTCACCGCTTCCGGTTCCTCCATTGGTTGTTCCTCGAAGCTACTCTATACCTTCAAGAAACCACAGAGCCATTGCTCAACGAGCGGTGGAAAGAAGCGAAGATAGAGTAGAGTCCCCACCGTTAACACCGATGAACCTGTCTCGGCCACTTCCTCAATCCACGGGAGTTGCTCAGACCAGTCAAATCAGAGGTAAAATGCAACCAAATATGTTAAGGATTCAATTATCTTTACATTAAGAAAAAACCACTTTTTTGAAACAAGGGACAAACACTAGACGCAAATGAAAGGTTCTCCTTTCGTTTGCGTTTAACGGCTAAAATAACACTTATAAATTATAGGTTCATGTAGAAAAACATAGTAATTCTAAACGCAAACGCAAACGCAGTTATACATATTTTCTTTGTCTGTGGATTTATTGAAACCTCCATAGGTTATTAATCATGCAGGAGAAACCAGAGATGATGCTGCCGCGTCGCGATTGACCAAAACGCTTGTTGTAGAGAAACCAGAGATCACCATAAGTGAATATAGAAGTCAGTATATGTAATGTATTATTATTCTTTAGTTGCTTAA